GCACCGCAGCCAACAAGTTCGGGACGAGACTGACAGCTCGCTCGCCCATTCGTCACCCGCGCACCTGCATATTCATGAGGGGGCGGGGCCTCGCCGTGGGGTGGGGCTGTGGGGGGGTGCTGGGGGCGCCCCTGGCTTTAAAGGAGGCGAGGGCGCGGTCTCCGCGCGGGGCGGCGGGGCGCGGGGCCACCGGGCAGTGGCTTCTCCTGTGCCCAGGCTCGCTGAGGTGTGGCCTCTTCTGCTCCAGAATTCTCCTCCGGGTTAGCAGCCTAGGAGTGGGGCGCCCCCTGAGGTCACCGTCATGGTCCCCTCCCATCAGAGCGCAGCCACTCTCGCTCTGCTCCTGGTCCCAAAGGAGATGCTGCCTGATGTACGCATCAGGATTTTGCCCCCACGCAGGGCGGATGGGGCCCTGGGACCCGAATGAGCCCAACTCCTGGTGCGCCCCCTTCCCCGAGGAATCTCCCCCGCTCCTCAGCCTCCTGCCACCTCCAGGCAGGCTACAGGGGGCGCTGCTCCCCTCCGACGCCCAGCCCTCCCCTCCTCCAAGCGCACAGGTTGAGTAGCCAGTCAACAAATGCTCCTTCCTGCAGGCTGTTTCGGAGGTGGACGTCGTCAGACTCTTATCTGCAAGGAACTCGCCGGCCAGAGATCCAAATTTGGGGAGAAGGAACTGGGAATAAAGGACAGTGGTCCATATCAAGAGAGCTACCCAAAGAGGATTTTCCAGCAATCTGGGAGTCTAGGTCACAGGGCCTGGGTATCCCACCCCTCCACTACCATCTCTTGAGCCTGTTCCTAGGTGATCACCTCCTCCGCATGTCAATACCAAGGGTTCTTCGTCTACAGACGGCCTGTGTTCCATGCAGCAGAGCCCTTTCCAGTGCCAGTGGTAACCCCAGTGATTAGAAATCCCCATACTTGAGGTGGTGATGTGTTACCCTGCCCTTCAAAACCCCACAATAGCTGGGTTGTCCTCTCTCCAAGGCTCCTCTCCCAGGTTTCCACGACTGGACCAAGTCACTGCCAGAGGACTTACTGAGGGAGGGGGAAATTCTGATACTGGTGAATCAGAGGCACAGTAAAAGTGGGCCAGGGACACGACCCTGCCTCCTGGATATTGCCTGGCAACCTGCACAGGGAGCCAAGCCCTGGGAATGCCTTGGGCAGTGCACCTGTCCCACCAGTGTCTAATGCCTCTCCAAGATCTCCGGCAGAAGCAGCAGGCCTGCAAGGGTGGGCCAGCATCCCCCATGGCTCTGCGCACTCAGAGTGCTCCCACCCCAGCCTGAGCCCAGGAAGCCCACAGGCAGGTAGGCCAGTTGGGGGGCCACGACACAAGCCAGGCCTGGCTACACACCGGGACGGCCACCGAATAAGGGAATTGGAGTGTGTTAAGAGTCTTCCCGACGCTTGCATCTTTCCAGAAGACAGTCCCTTTGCAGATTCAGCCTCACTTTCCCTCCGGCCTGGAGACAGGGAGGCCTCAGAGGACACAAGAGCCTTAGCTTTCCAAGCTTGCCTGTGCTCACCATCTCTCTAAGGCACCCAGCCAAGCTGTGAACGAGGCAGCCACAGCCCTGACCTACCTGCAGGGACCTCTCTAAGGGTGGATGATATATTGTAGACCAGCAAACCGTAAGAGTCTAAAACCAGGTGCCTCCACACACACCCCCACTCCCACTCCCACGCCCCATGAGACCCAGAGGGTGGGGCAGCAAGATGAGGAGTAGAAGTAACACAGGAAGGTTCTGGGGCTCAGAGAACCTGACAAGGGCTTGTGAGGACAAAATATCCAAACCAAGGTGGGCGGTGATACTGCAGTCTTCTGCTGAGACCAGTGGGAAGTCACAAAGAGCCTGGCTGGCTGTGTCACACCACGACTTACATTCTCATCGAGATCCCTGACAGTGGCCTGGAGGGGGGCGAGGGGAGGTCAGGGCGATGCCACGGTGCCGTTGAGAGGCACAGGTGTCTAGGACAGTGTCTAGGGTGTCCAGGCAGTGCAGGGGCTGGGGCGGGGGGGGGGTCAGCATGAAATAGAACCCAGGGATAACCCTGCAGCCCATCCCTGTGTGCCTCCCTGTTTCCTGCTGTCAGGCGGCTGTGGGAGGACAGGCCAGCAGGCAGAGCTGGGCTCTGCTGACACGGACTTCTTCTGTGTGACTGACTCAGCCTACTCCCACCCCCCTGCTCAGAACTGTGGGTGCAGTGGCTCAGGGAAGGATTCTTCATCAGGCCAAGACACAGGACTCACCTTGTAGGTACGCAGGCTCCCAGGGGGTCTGTCCAACAGCATGCCTTGGAGAGCAGGGAGACCTGGGTCTCCTTGCTTAGAAGAACAGCCGGAGACTCTCAGGGCAGTAGATTCAATACCTGGGTGACACCTGCCCTGACCAGGTGTCATCACCACAATGGTGATGACCTCCTCCTCCTGGGCACCACAACCTTACCTGGTGGTGACCAGCGGATGCTGAAGGTGTGAAAGGTGGCCACTTGGCATTGAGAGGGGCCCTCCCCTGGAAATCCCCTCCCTGCACCGATTTTGGCAGCTTCCAGGCAGAATTGCCGGGGGCAGAGGGACCTACACGTGGAGAACTGTCGCCTCACACACCCTTCAAACCGTATACTTGGGGGCTGGGGAACCCTGACCTGACCCTGCGGGGTCAGCTGCTCTGCCTGTTCAGGAAGGCCTTCATCACCCACTGGACATGACTGACTCCCGCCTGGCGGCTCTCGCCAAGATCCCTGACACTCGAGAGGTCTGGGCCTGTTCTGAATGGGTGCTTAGCTCGAGCTGGATAGGCACAGAGGGGCCTCAGGACCAGGCTGAAGGATGAGGCAGCCCAGGATTTGGACGGAGCTGGCTGGGCTCAGGAGTGAGCTATGCTTCCGCCCATGTCCTGTGATGCTAAATATAGCGGCCAGGGAGGGGAGTTTCCGGTTACAGCCCCCCCACCCCAAGCCGGGAAATCGATGCCAGCTCCATTAAGCCCAGCCGTGGTGCCTGCTGACCTGCCCGCCAGGCTGCAGATCAGAGTGAGGGACTGGACTTTACCCAAGCCCAGGTGCCCTGTCTCCTAACTCATCCTCCTGCCCTCCAGAGCCCTCCCCCACTCTGCCCGTCAGACAGCGAACACCCAAGGGCAATCCTGAGGGTCATGGGATTCCGATGGTGGGCATTAGGCAACTGCAGGATGTCAGGGCAGGGCATAGATGGCAGTGGCTGGGTATACTCCTGTCCTGGGACCATCAAGGTGAAGCTGGATCACTGTGCCTCCCTGTATTCAGCTCCTGGACACACACCACATACCTAGGGACCCTTCCCTAAAATGAAAAAGAAAAAAGAAAAAGAAAGAAAGAAAGAAAAAGGAAGAAAGAAAGAAAAGAAAGAAGAAAGAAAGAAAGAAAGAGAGAGAGATAGAAAGAAAGAAAGAAAGAAAGAAAGAAAGAAAGAAAGAAAGAAAGAAAGAAAGAAAGAAAGAAGAAAAGAAAAGCCGTGGTTGCTTGTCTGGCTGGCCCCACCTAAATTGCTACAAATATTTGCATACAGGTGGTGCTATCTGAGCAGTCCACATGCCACAGCCTCCTCAGGGTGGTGCCTCAATGTCACACCCACATGGGGCATAGGGAGGGGGTGAAGCCAGTGCCCCCCATCCTCCAGGGCAGGGCAGGGGGCTGTAGGAGGACAGAGGGCACCCCACCCACCTCAGCATCCCTATCTCAATGTCCCGATTAGGATTCCAACACTTCAGCTCCTGGCCTCACAGAAGGGGACACTGAGGCACAGAGCCCCAGGACATGCTCACAGACAGCTCATCACCTGAGTGCCACTGTACTAAGTTACAAGGGGGAAGAGGGCCTCTCTCCAGGATACCTCGTGGCCTATAAGATGCTGACTGGAGGGTTTGAAACTCTGGGGAAAGGCACAGCTGGGCCACTGCTCTGTAGCCTGACCTTACCCAAGACAGACCAACTTCCGGATCCCTCCGATGTCCCCCAAGGCACCTTTCACAGGGCGGCCTGAAGTACGTGCCTGTGGTCCAGGCGGCTGGCTAGGTGGGACAGCATGCCCTTTTGTCCACGGCAGGCACTCTGGGGACCTGGAGGACGGCTCTGAGCTATGTGCATGCCTCTCGTGGCCCCACCCTCAGGCCAGGGAGCAAGGCCAGCAGCGCTGTGAGCTGTCACACTCCTGAGGCAGCTCTATGCAAGGACCAGGCTGCCCATACCAAGATGACTGCCCCAGATGCTCATCATGGCCAAGCCTGCAACATTACTTGTGTCCTACAGGCCAAGTGAGGTCCCCTCAAGTCATGGAGAGGGCACTGGAGACACCAGATACAGAGTGTCCCTAGCCCGGAGTCCCCGGGCAATGGCAGTGCTGTTCTAGCCCAAGCCCGGGCATGGCAGAGACCCTCTATCTGCCCAGATCAGGGGGTATACACTCTCTGGAATGGGCAGGGCTGTACCCATTTCCTCTCATCTGAGGCCACATTCAGTCTCTCTATTCCTGCGGATACAGCTCACGTTCACAGGGAATGGTGGCCCTGCCCCAGATTGGACACTTAGCCTGGTCCCCTCCCGAGCTGGCTACTCCACCTGACAAGCCCCAGGCTTGCTGCGCCAGCCCCCTGACGGCCATCTGCCTCCCAGAGCGTCCACTTGCACAGTCTGAGGAGGAACAGAGGGGTTTGTGTGGAGACCTTGCTGCCCCTCAAGACAGTGATCCTCACCCCAGTGGCCATCAGTGAAAATTATGCAAGCTTTATTGAGTGTGTAGGGCAGGAAGGTGAGTGGACGGGACCAGCCTGTCCAGCCCCAAGGTCTCACTGGAGACTCAGGTGGGGAACCACGTGGCTAAAGAACCAAGAGATAGCGAAGATAACACCAAGAGTCTTGGGGACGTTGGGGTTGTCGGCAAAGGCCTGGGCCTCGTCCAAGTTCAGATGTACCACCTCGATGAGTTCCCCCTCCTGAGCCAGGCCTCCACCAGGCCCACTTCGCTGGGCATCTGTCACCTCTGCGTAGAACATGGTCTGCCTGGAGCCGGTCAATCCTACTCCAGACCTGTCAGGTGGAACAGGAGCGCTGAGACACCATGACGACCCTGCCAGCCCCCCTGCTTCCATGCCTCTCTCTCTCTCTCTGGCTTTCTGATGGGCGGAACTCTTTGAGTGGCTTCACCCCTCCCAAATACCACTCCTAGTGGGGACATCCATGTCACGTATGCCCCCTTGAGTGGGGGAACCCGATGCATGTTGGGCATGCATTCTGGCACTAGACTATCATATGGCGGAGGTAGGGGGAGGTGTCTCACGCCAATTAGGAAAGGGATGTAAAGAGCACTGAAATGATTTTGATCATTGGGCTGGAGAGATGGCTCAGCCACCAAAGACTAGACTCGCCATCCAACGGTCAAGACGAATATGATGACTGGCATTTAGGGAAAACAAAAATGTCAGAGCATCTTACACACATCATGGACCCAGGACCCTGCTCGGCTACCGGACTGAACTCATCCCAAGAGAGATACCCAGGTAGGCCTGGCCTAATCGGGTGAACCCACACAACAGCTTCCAGCTCAAAACTGGAGAAGTCTGATGCTTTCTGCTAACAGAGACCAGAACAAGCTGCTGTGTTGTAAGGAGACACATGACAGGGACCTTCAGGCACCACTGAGATCTAACAGTGGTTCCTGGTCAACAGCTAGTCAGGAAGTGGCCGCGATCCCACAGCCACAGGAGTTGGAGTGTGCCACCTTTGCACCTGGATGGATCACAGATGTGGCTGGCAGCCCTGAATGAAGCTTATGTGACCCTGAGTGGGAGACCAAGGACCCTGGACATAGACTGGATATGCAGAAGCCATGGGGTCATAAGCAAGCAGAACTAGAGTCTGTGATAGGCTCTTAGAATCTGTTCATTAGGCCCCTGCCCGTGATGCCTGCCGGGTACCCGACCAGGGCCTGACTTCCATAATTGCTAAGGCCCAAGCCAGCCCGGCCCATATCGGCAGCTCCTGATTGATTGGGGAGCCATGAAGAAATCAGAGACCGGGTGTGGTGGTGGGGATCACAGACCTCTTCACATAAAAGGGCAGATTCCAACCCAGTTCCAGACAGGGACAGGTGGGGAATCTCTCAGCAGGACACTTCATGGAGGCAGGAGCAGAACTGGGAGATACTCAAGACCTCCCAACCCCCAAGAGAAGGACCCACCCTCCCACCCCCCACTCTGCTCCAAGACTGACCATGCCCATCTACCTCTTTATCCCCACAGAGCCCTACCTGATGGCCCATTTTCCCGACAGTCACAGCCTGCACCTGTGACTGGAATCAGCCACCGGTCTCAGTTCCCCAACTCATGAGGGAGACAGCTCCAGCCTGTGGTCTGGTCAGGCTCGAGGCTGCCTCCAGCCTGGGCAAGCTCTAGTGTCATTCACACAACAAGTCAACCACAGTCAGTATGACTATGAAGGGAGTGAGTGGCTTACTTCTGGTCTTGGCCAGGGAACCATTAAGCGGGTAGGCTCTGATCTGTTCAGTTCCAGTGAGGCCCACAGGGACAGGTGCTCCGACTTTTCACTTAGCTTTACCCTCAGTCATGCTTCCTCACAGCCACACCCTCCTCTTCAAAATATAAATCTGAGCAGGATGATCACTAGCCGGCTCTCTAGTACTTTCAGTTAGGACACAGCCCAGAGGCCCTGCCTATGAAACCTCTCAAGACAAGGTTCCCTTGTCCTCAAACAGCTGCCAGGACCCCCCACCCCAAAAGCCAATTTCCTTCCATCCCGTCTGTCTGCTCCACACACTAGCCAAACTCCTATGAAGGTCAGGCTCCTTAGATTCCCCTGCCCTAAACACTGTCGTGTTGGGAGTTGAAGGATCCAGGAATCACTGTCTGTCCAAATGGAAGACAAAGAAAAGGACACAGACCAGCCCTTCAGAGGCGATGGTCAACACTGGATCCAACATGGTCCAACCACAGCTAGGTGCTACAGAGTGAGGTCTTCAGGGATGGAGGCAGGGGGGCCCTGGCTGGGTGGAGAGTGCCAGGAGAGAGGTGGCAGGGACTCTGGCCCTTCGTGGTTGAGGTTGGGCTCAGGCCCCTGGAAAGGTGGTCAGAAGGTGGTGCTCAACCTTGTGGGGTGACAGGCACCCTAAGACCCTTTTTCTGCCCTAAGATCTCAGTGGTCAAGGATCCACACAACATCCCGAGGCAAGGGGTGGCTTCCCATTTGAATAAGGTAGCCCTGGTTGGCTGCCCGAGGGAGGCATGAGTGGCTGGCACCTGGGCTTTGGAGGGGTAGTCCCTCCTCCTTCCCCTCCCCGGGACTTGTCCTTCCCTCTCATTCCTGAGCCACCGGCAGAGAACAGAGCTGTGACTCACCCCACCCCCAGCGCCCGGTGCTTTAATCCCACAGGAAGTGGGGCATCTGTCGGCAGCAGCTGCCACCCAGAGCCCAACCCCACATGGCCGAGGCTGCAGGGTAGAGGCACAGGGTTGAGCATACTCCAGCACCAGCCCCAAAGCACCAGGTCTGGCCCAGCCTAGGAGCTGGGGCACGGTCCATCAATTCTCTTCCAGTCCTGTGCTTGTCTACCCTCAGGGACAGGGTTCTCACCCACTCCCTGATAGTCTTTCCTATCCTTTAAACCACACTAGGTAGCAGCCCACCCTGCCAAGCCTCCTTACATGTACGTGGCAACTTGGCGCAGGTCGGCGGGGTCCAGGCGATAGCCACACTCTTCCCAAGCCTCCTTGCAGGCCACTTCTTCTAGTGAGAGCCCAGGTTGGTCCACAATGCCGGCACAGAGTTCCACCATCACCCCCACGGAGCCAGGCAGTGCTGGCTGAAGCTTCTGGGGCTGGTCCTGGTCCACAGCTGCCAGAGAGCCTGGGAAGAGGCGCTCCACCTCGCCTGCATATACAGCTGGTATGGGGGGGAAGCGCGGCCACATGGTGGTCACCTCAGAGTAATTACTCTGGGCCCGGCACCTCTTGCTGGACCTCAGTTTCCCCCAGAGCCACCACTGCATCAGCAGCATTCCTGGAAGCCCGCTGCGATTCCCCCTTCCCAGCTCCTGCCCACCCAGCTGGTCTCACCTGGCCGGAACTGCTTCACCAACACCAGGCTTCTCTGCGAAGAGTTGAACATGAGAATGGTCACACTGCATGGGGAATGAGGCTCAGTAAGAACGCGCAGTCAGGCCAGGGCCCTGACCGCCTAGGTTCCAGTTCACAGAACAGGGGCAGGGGGAGAAAACAGGCTGGGCAGCTGGGAGAGTGGAGGCCTCTGCTGGCCGGTTTCCCAACTGTCACACCCCTCACAAACCGCATTAGCCCACGCCCTGGATCCTGAGGAGAAAGATCAGCAGACCTCTTCGGCCCTAGGAGGGCTAGCCTGCCACCAGGGGCCTGGTGTCCTGCATTCCTTAGCCACCAGGCCTCACGGACATGAGAACCAGAGACTAGGTTGAGGTGGGAGGTGTTTGAAGACACCAAGGAGAGCAGAAACTGGGGGACTGCCTAGGACAGCCCCTCTTACCTGTCATGTGTTTTCATGAAGTCCCAGGACTTCTGGACGCCGTCCTGAAAGAGGCAGGGTAGCAATCAGGAAGGGTGAGCGGCTGCCAGCAACAGATGGAGGTACATGGGCCAGACAGACCCACTGAGGCAGCTCCCAGCAGGGAGGCTTGCTGCCTGCCGACACCCATCAGGAATGGGGACTTGCCGCAGCAGGTGGGGGTAGATGAGGTCTCCCCAGAAGTCAGGGTAGCCTGGTGTTCCGGGAAGGGTAAGGTAGAAAGCCCGGGCAAAGGGCAGGAAAGGCATTTCATGAGCACAAAGTACTACAGAAGCCTATGTTGCCATCAGGTGTGGGAAGGAACTAGGAGGATACAGGAAGGGCAGGTGTGACGCCCTTAGGTGGGGCAGAGAGGATGGCAGGTGGGCAGAGCAGAAGTCAGGTGTTCGCTGCTGACGTCCCCTTGGGCCACTGGACAGTTCACACCGAAGTTGTGCGCCTGGCGGTGAGTCCACGCCCCACCCTGCTGCGGGCTCAGGCTACCTCTTACACAGCCCGTAGTCCTGCTGATCCTGCATGTGGG